GGTGTGCTATAGAGTGTTTATTGTTCTATATCATCATTCAGGTGTGCTATAGAGTGTTTATTGTTCTATATCATCGTGCAGGTGTGCTATAGTGTGTTTATTGTTCTATATCATCATGCAGGTGTTTTATAGAGTGTTTATTGTTCTATATCATCATTCAGGTGTGCTATAGAGTGTTTATTGTTCTATATCATCGTACAGGTGTGGTATAGTGTTTATTGTTCTATATCATCGTGCAGGTGTGGTATAGTGTTTATTGTTCTATATCATCGTACAGGTGTGCTATAGAGTGTTTATTGTTCTATATCATCGTACAGGTGTGGTATAGTGTTTATTGTTCTATATCATCGTGCAGGTGTGCTATAGTGTGTTTATTGTTCTATATCATCGTGCAGGTGTTTTATAGTGTGTTTATTGTTCTATATTATCATGCAGGTGTGGTACAGAGTGATTCAGATTGTCATCAATAGAGAGGACGTGCAAGGCTATGCAGCAAAGACTGTCTTTGAGGCTCTGCAGGCACCGGCCTGCCACGAGAACATGGTCAAGGTCGGCGGATACATACTCGGCGAGTTCGGAAATCTCATAGCTGGAGACCAGAGGTCAAGGTGGGTGACCACACCCACGCCATGTTAGTGCGGTTAACGTGGACGTTCTCCTGTTTTATGCATTCGTCGTGTAGCGACAGGACGCACTCCTTGACGTACTGCGCTGACGTGCAGTGCGACGGTGCTGCCATCTGCGTGCGGTGGACACAAACATTCTCGTGTTTTAAATAGCTGTCTTGTAGCGTCAGGACACACTCGCCACCGCTTTCCACCTACATGCGGTGTGCCGGTGCTGCGACTGCATGCGGGGAATTGACACGAAAACGTTCTTGTGTTTCAGCCCGCTCGTACAGTTTGAGCTGCTGCATTCCAAGTATCCGCTGTGTACCGTCAGCACACGCTCGCTGCTGCTCTCAACTTATGTCAAGTTCATCAATCTATTCCCGGAAATCAGACCGACGATCCAGGAGGTAAGTGTGCGCACAGAGATCCCAAGGTGGTGCCCCCTAGGGGAAGTCCTCCAAGTAGCACCTACTAGGCATTCGTGGCATAGATGTGCTTGTTGCGACGGTGACTGTTGCTATAGGCATTCGGGGCATGGATGTGCTTGTTGCCATGGTGACTGTTGCCATAGGCATTCGCGGCATGGACGTGCTTGTTGCCACGGTGACTGTTGCTATAGGCATTTGCGGCACGGATGCGTTTGTTGGCACGGTGATTACTTCTCTGCAGGTGTTCATGGCAGACAGCAACCTGAGGAGTGCAGATGCTGAGGTGCAGCAGAGAGCCGTGGAGTACCTACAGATGAGCAAGGTCGCATCGGCCGACGTACTGGTGAGTGGTGGCGATCGAGTGAAAGAATCCGAGCGACAGAGTGAACGAATAAGTGAAGTAGAATGAATGAATGAGTGAAGTAGAGTTAACGATTGAGAGGGATCATGTGAATGAGTAAGTGGATGAGTGTGAATGTGGAATCATCTGTGTTTGAGTCAATGCATGCATGCGTGCGCGTGCCTGCATGTGTGTGTGGATGTGTGCGTGTGTGGGTGCGTGCATGGGTGCGTGCATGCATGCATGTGTGCGTGAGTGCATGAGCGAGCGCGCCTGTATGTGCGTGTGTGCGTGAGCGAGCGCGCGCGTGCATGCTGGAATGCGTGTATGAGTGTGTGTGTGTGTGCGTGCGTGCGTGCGTGCGTGCGTGCGTGCGTGCGTGCGTGTGTGTGCATGTGCGTGAGTGAGCATGTGTGTGTGAGTGCGTGCCTGGGTGCGTGCGGAAGGATACGACCCCAACCTATACACAGCACAAGCATACACATCACTTCTCCCCAGTATCAGCTGCACAACGCTACACACACACACACCACACACACACGTGCATCAACCCTGCGCAGCACTCACGCCGCTACTTACACCACAACACACAACATACATCAACCCTCCACAGCATCACGGCCCAACCTTACACACACACAACACACACACATAGCATCGAACCCATCCACATCACGGCCGCTACCTTACAACACACGACACACACATAGCATGCAACTTACCTCACAGTATCACGCATCAACTTACAACACACAAGACAGCTACATACAAACGCCTGCACAGCATCACGGCCCAGACTCTTACACACACACACACAACATACATTCATACCCTCCACATCCACGGACCCAACCTTATCACACAACACAACACACATACATTCAACCCTCCCAGTATCAACGCCCCAACCTTACACGCGACAAACCACACATCAAACCTCGCAGCATCCACGGGCCGCAACCTTACACACACACCTTCACACACATTACTATCAAACGCCTCCACTATCACGGCCCAACCTACACAACACAAACAACCATCAACCCTCGGCAGCCATCATCGGCCCAACCTTACCCACACACACACTACATCAATCGCCTGCGCGCAGCTCACGGCCGCAACCTTACACACACCACACACATACATCAACCCTCTCAGTATCGACGGCCGGCAACCGTTAACACACACAGCGCACACACATACATCACCCTCCAGTATCAACGGCGCCAACCTACACACACACACACATAACATCATATCACCTCGCAGGCATGCACGGCCCAACCCTTAACAACAAGCACAACACACATACATCAACCCTCCAGTATCACGCCCAAACCTTACACGACCAACCCACGACACGACACATACATCAACCCTCGCAGCATCCGGATCAAGCCTTACACACAGCACAGCACACAACAGACATCAAACCCTCCAGCATACACGGATGGCAACCTTCACACACACGCATCCGACACATGCCATAACTCCTCCAGCAATCACGGCCCACAACGCCTTACATCACAACAAACCACCATCAAAGCACCTACCGCATCACAGGCCCAACCTTACACACACACACAATCAATACATCACCCCGTGCCCAGTATCAGCGCCAACGCTTTACACACACAAACACACATACAACCCTCCAGCATCACCGGCCCATACCTAACCACACACATCATACACATCAACCATCCAAGCATCAAGCGGACCAACGCCTACACACACGACGCACACTACATACATCAACGCGCTACCAGCATACGACGGATCAGCCTTACACACACACACACACACATCATACATGCAACCCTCCAGCATCACGACCAACCTTTACAACAGCACACATAACATCAACCTCTCCAGCATCACGGACCAACCTTCACACACACACCATACATCAACCCGTCCAGCAATCACGGAATCAACCTACACACTGGCACACACACACCACCACATACATTTCAACCCTCCAGCATTCAGCGGCATGTGCATCAAGCACACCTATCCGCCTAACCCTAACCCAATCTTACACACACACCATTACACACACCTTACACAGTCACCACCAACTCAAAATAGCCACCATGATATGAAATGGTCTAACTACTATGCTGCCAAAATATTCACCATGATGTTAAAATATTCTGTTCTGGCGTGACATGGCGTTGGAGAGAGAGAGAGAGAGAAAGAGGAGGGTGTACTGTTATAGCGTGAGATAAGGAGGTTTAAGTGAGTGGGGAGGGAGGACACTGTACTAGCGTGAAGATAAGGTTAGGGTGAGTGGGGAGGGGAGCACTGTACTAGTATGAGATAAGGTGAGGTGAATGGGAGAAGGGAACCACTGTACTAAGAAGAGTTACTGTATGAGATGACGAAGGTAAGGTGATACAGTGGGCGGACAAGGGGAGCAGTGTGTGCTACTTCACGTGAACGAACACGTTCGAGGACGGGCATGTCCCGTGAAGTCCTGTAATGCACTCGACCTTGATGAGTTGCTGCACCTGCGCACCTGCTCCAGCAATGTGCCCACCGGCGTTCGTTCTGCACGTTCAGCTGTGCACCCGAGCACAACAGTGCAAGGAACGCCTCACTGCACAGACGCTGGTCAGGCGTGTCAATCACTCGGCACCTTAGCGGCGGTGGAAGCGTTCTTACTGCTTATGATAGCATAGCTGAATGCTTACACATGCACGCACTCATGCACAGCTAATACGCACATGCACGCACGGCGACGGGCACACACAACACTAATAAAATGTTAGCACATGCCAGCGCGCGTGCACGACATGCATGCACTCATGCATGCACTCAGCGCAACACTAATACGCACATGCACCGCACTGCACGCCACACACACACACACTAATACATACAGCATGCCACGCGCGCGTGCACACATGCAAGCGGCGTTGTAACACATCATCGCACTCATAGCACGCACTCATCAGCACTCATGCCACGCACCGCACAGCACGGCACCCACCACACAGACTACATAGCATACACATGGCCAGCACGGCGTGCAGCACATACACGCACATTCAATGCACGCACTCATGGCACATCACTAATAACGCACATGCACGCACGGCAGCGCACACCACACGACAGCACTAATACATACTAGCAGATGGCCAGCGCGCGTGCACACGATGCATAGCACTCAGTCATGCAACTCATGCACACTAATTGACCACACCGCGACGCACGCACGCACGGTCACCGCACGCATGCACCACCCACACACACTGAAATAACATGACATCATTTCGCAGCGCGCGTGCACGACATGCATGCGTGCGTGTACACGATGGCATGCACTGCACACGACATACACAAGCCAAAACGTACGTACGCGAACAGCACTGCTCGCACCGCAACGCACCGCGACCACAGACAACGCACGCACGCACCGCACGCACTCACGCACGCAGTGCACGCACGCACGTCACGCACCACGCGACGGCACGCACGCAGACGCACGCACGCACGGCCACGGCACGGCACACAACCCGCCCGCGCACACACACAACAATAATAGAAACTATGAGTTCACGACAGGATGACGAGGATATATTGAGGACCTCGCGCGGCGTGTCGTGTCGAGCGCGGGTGGAGAAGTTAGAGAGCGAGGCGCCTGCGTCTTGTTGCCGTAGTAGAGCGCAACCCGGCCTAGATTCTTCGCAAACTCCGCCTTCACGCCGATCTGTATTATGTCGTTCTCGAACAGTATTACGTTGTTCTTCGTCACGAACCTACGATCAAGAACAACCGCGCTCAGTACAGAGCCAAAGGACAGGGTTCAATCATCAAGTGTTAACAATGTGAAAGCGAGAGAGAGAGAGAGAGAGAGAGAGAGAGAGAGAGAGAAAGAGAAGAGAGAAAGATAGTGAGAAAAGAGAGGAGAGAAGAAGAGTGAAGAAAGAGAAGAGAGAGGAGAGAGAGAGAGAGAGAGAAAGAGAGGAAAGATAGTGAGAAAGAGAGAGAGAGAGAGCGGCAAAAACAAAAGAGAGAAAGAGAGAGAGGAGAGCGAAACAAAAGAGAGAAAGAGAGAGAGAGAGAGAGATAGAGAGGAAAGAGAAAGTCTAATAAGATATTATGAGGATTCAAAGGAGATATCAAATGATCACCCCCTTACATCATGCCGCCTAGACCCTGACCTGGCCTCGCCGCCCATCACACCCCTGGCTCCCGCCCTTCGCCCCGCCGCTCCCCCACTGCATGCCGCGCCCTCCCGCCTACATCACTGCAACTCTTACGGATCGTTCCGACGTGCTCCCGCCCGGTGAAATTCTCCTGCTCGCCGCCCGCCGGTGAAATTCTCCTGCGCGCACGCGCGCGCGCCGCCGCCCGCCGTGAACGTAGGGAGGCGCGCTCGGGGGCGAACTGCGGCCCGAACGGCCTCGCCGAATAGGTCGAGCAGGACGGCTGCTGGCGGGAGCGGCTGGCGCTGACGTCACAGACCCGATGCCGGCTGCGCCGGGTCTCCAGTCCCAGCAGATCAAGACCACGCCCGCCGCCGACGGGGGACTGCACCTGAGAGCAAGGACACGATCAGCGATCCGAGAAGCTGTGCGTCTCTATATAGTCTATATAGTCTCTATACACTCTATTAATATAGTCTTATACACTCTATATAGCTCATACACTCTATATATAGTCTCTATACACTCTATATAGTCTCTATACACTCTATATAGTCTCTATACACTCTATATAGTCTCTATACACTCTACATAGTCTCTATACACTCTATATAGTCTCTATACACTCTATATAGTCTCTATACACTCTATATACTCTATATGGACTCTATATAATCTCTATGGCCTCTATATTATACTCTACACACTCTGTATAGACTTTATATAGTCTCTATATACCTATTTACTATATAGAGACTATATAATCTATTTAGACTCTACATACTCTATACACTCTATATAGACTCTATATAGTTATATAGACTGAATTCAGTCTGAAGTCCCTCTAACAACTGACTTTATTTACTCTCTCTATGAAGTCTATATATAGACTGAATACAGTCTATATATCGACTTCATATAGAGACTAAATAAAGTCAGTTGTTAGAGGGAGAGGGCAACCTTTACCATACCTGAGGAGGGGAGGATCCCGGCATGGCCTTCCCCTGCATCTCGGTGCCGTTCGTCATCTTGCCTTCCTTCTGTACCTTAGAGTCCTCGATCTGTCCGTCGCGCAGAGCCGACGGTTTCTTCTTCTTCAGCGTCGCGAGGATAGAGGATTCGCGCTCCGGGGAAGGGAGGCATCTCCTCCAGTACCGTCGCCTGAAGGATGGACATGTCGCTACTGACTCATGCACAGCATGCACGCACGCACAGACGCACGCAAACGAGCAACGCAGCACGCACACACCACACACACAGCCGCG